AGTTTCAATCATGAGCGTTTCTTCATTCTAATCAAGTGTGGTTGCTGATGAATGGCTTCGACTGAAATTGGGCAAATCAAGTAAACACCTAACAGTGTGTGGGGGGGGGGGGGGAATCTCTACTCTTTCAAACCGTGCAGGTTGAGATATAACTGGGATTTCGTCAAAACGGACATTTTATATTTTTTGAACAAAATTGAAAATCCATTTTTTGGCCAAAAATTCATGAAATAGGGGGGGGTGCGGTGTTCCGAAAACGCCCTACCCCCTCAACATATCTGGACTTAGCCGAAGTGTACATACATCCAGGCGGGAAAACGTTTGGACCCCTTGGATGTATGTGGACTTCAGTTAAGTCCAGATACGTTGAGTGGGTAGGGTGTTTCTGGAATGCCGTACCCCCTATTTCATGAATTTTTGGCCAAAAATGGATTTCCAATTTCGTTCAAGAAATATAAAACGTTCGTTTTGACGAAATCGCAGTTATTATATGTCATTGTCATTAAAACGTCAAATTTAACGCCTACCATGCCCCGATTCTTTGCACGTCAACCTTTTGATCTTTGCATGTGTTTTCAGATAATGTGCACATGAATTCTCACGGATTGTACCATTCAGTGGCCGTGGTGCCCCCTCTTATTCCTTTCCTCTTCTTGATAGGGGACAACCCCGCTGCGTCGTCTGTCCTGGCGACTTCTTGACATGTGCCCGCGTGTGTGCTTTTCATAACTGTTTTGACGTGTTTTTTTTTCATAGGTTGAAGAACATGCATCCGCTCTCATGCAGAAGCTGGAGACTGTCACTGTCGAGCGCGATGCAGCCACAGCACTGAAGGTGATGCCTTTTCGATTCATTGATTTCTTAAAGTCTTCGTATTGGCATCCAATAGGAACCGAAGGGCGGCAGTCACGAATCGATGGGGCATACACTTCGCTCAATCTTAGTTGCTGTGCGGTACATGAATGAGACATACCGAGAGTTCGGCGAGAACTGACGATCGTTTTTTTTAAATCTCAAAATCGATTTGCACTTTGAAGTTTGACTTTTAAACTTTGACTCTCATTGGACAGATCCTGCCTGATGGGTAAATGGGAAGCTATGGTACCGTGAAACTGCTAGCAAAATTCAGGGGACAAGTTCAAATCCTGTTAAGCAGTGTTTGATAAAGAAAGAGTTCTGCCTGCGGCAGGGGGGCAGCTTTCGTGAGTCCGTTACAGGTAGGACGGCTTTGCGGGGCAGAAAGTGTCTGTGAAACATGCATGTTTAGTGTTGAAAGAGTGTTCGAAAAAGCCGAAAAGTTTTTCACAGTCATCTCTTTTCTGCAGGTACACTAGTCCAGTTTCTGAGAAGGCCACTGATGATTGGCAGGTTTTTTCTTTTTTTTGTTTTGTTTTGTTTTGTTTTGGGTGGTGGGGGTGGGGGATGGGGAGATGGGGACCTGTTCTTTTTGATGCAGGAGGACTATTCTACCCAGCTGCGTATGATGAAGAAGAGACTACAAGCAGCTGAAGAAGAACAGGTCAAAGTGAGTACTCATGTGATCACTGGGCTGAATCAGCGGCTAATGTTACGGTGACAACCGGTACAATGATAATGTCAATAACCTTTTTTGCATCTTCGTCGTTTTTTGAACCTTTTTCATCGAATGGAATAGTTGAGGGTGGCAGGGCAGGGCAGGGGCAGGGTAGGCTGAACTCATATAAGAATGTTATTATTATTATTATGTTAATAATAGTTTAATAATAGTTTAATATGCTTAAAAAATGGCATGCAAACATCTGAGCATGAAACCATCCTCACGCAGCCACAGCGACGACGCATGTGAACGGCGCTGACGGCCTTAGTCTGAGCCTGTGAGGGACTTTCCTCTGCTCCTGCTACCTACCTACCAGGGGGCCAGATGAGTGAACGGCGCAGTGTGGATTCCGTGTTCATGTATTATCAGCAGTGAAGAGTCGGGCCTTGTCCTGTTCTTCCCCCACCTTCGCTGGTGGCAATAGATGAACACAAAATCCACACTGCGCTGTTCACTCATCTGGCTTCCTGGTAGGTAGGTAGCAGGAGCAGAGGCAAATCCCTCACAGGCTCAGACTAAGGCCGTCAGCGCCGTGCACGTGCGTCATCGCTGTGGCTGCGTGAGGATGGTTTCATGCTCAGATGATTGTATGAAGTTTTAGCATACTAAACTACCCCTTCTCCCCCCCCGCCCCTCCCCTTCCTTATAGTCTTGGTTCCCAAGAGTCCAGATGGTCCGGACCAGGTCTCTGATCTGATGGGATCGCTGGTCCCGATGGTGCTACTTAGAAGATTGGCATGACGCATATGATACACTGGGGAGGGGAGAAGAGCTGGCAGCTTTGTTAAACCACAACACTCCATTTTTGCGGCTGCCATGGCGACCATATGGCCTTTCGCTTTTTCCGTTGGTGTCTGTTGGATGGACAATCCAGCTGGCAGTGTTTGTCACCCATAGCCGAGGACCGGTGTGGGTGCGCTTTTCAAGATTCAGCATGCAGCTCTTTTCCCATTCCCCTTTGCTCCTGGGACACCAGCCGATGGACACAACCTACTGCCTGGTAAAGGATAAATCACCCACCAATCAGAGCACTGGCACCCTGCTAGCAGTGATTCCAGCCTGGATGTAGGGAGGAGATCGGCAAAGTACTAATGCAGCAATGCCAGCAAATCATCCGTTGGATTGTGAAGCTGATATGCTTAGTTTTGCGGTGTTACTTTTATCTTAAAGGGATTCTTTTTGAAGCCATTAAATGCCATTTGGGGAGCAGCGAAGGCGGTCAGTTGTGTGTTGATTTTGAGTCGTTAAGGTGATTGCAGCAGGAGTCATTTCGTGAACGAAGATGCTACAGACACCTTGAAGGGGCTCTCATACCTAACCCCAGCATGCCGGCTTTTGTCCTTATTTACTGTCGATCAGAATTTGTTCTCTCTCTCTCTCGCTCGCTCGCTTTCGAGCTGTGAACTGGCTTGGAAACGTTAGAAAGTGCACGAAATGGAGAATGCTTTGAATGAGTGGGCTCAGCAACAGGCGGCCGAAGGCCGAGTTATTACGCCGATGGTTTTCCTGCAATGGCTTCCAGGAAAGGGATCGATCATGTCAGAGAATGTCATGCTCGCTTGGTTTATTTGCTCTTTGATGGTGCAGTGTGAAGGTACGCTACATTTATACACTTCTTCCCTCTTTCCTGACCCCCAACTTCCGCTATTACGGCTGCTGATTCATTCGACTCCTAACCCTGCTTAATCTGTGGAATGCCTGGTTGCAGTCTGAGGAAGACGCTGCTGCTCTTCGGGCTGAGCTGGAGACGGTCCAGCGTGCCGCTCATGGTGCAAGTGCCCAGTCGCGACTGGGAAGCAGTCCAGAGCAATTCAGGATAGAAGAGCAAGAGAGAAAAGCCGCACGGGCAGAACTTGAGGTACACAACTCAACGAGCTTGCTGTATGAAACTATTATATTTCTCCCTCCCTCCCTCCCTCCCTCCCTCCCTGCCTGCCTGCCTCCCTGCCTGACTGGCTGACTTGTGCACTTCTCTGTGCGTAGAGTGAGTTCGCTTCTGGCATGTGACTGAGCTTGGTGATGTGCCCTCTCCGTTTGGCTTCCTGTCTGCCCTCATTTTTGCGTTTCCGCCTTTCTTTTTAAAAGGGCAACGGTCTTGAGCTATCATCATTGAGCTGACCGGCCCCAGGCAATTCAGAATATTTGGTTTTTACTCATCAAGTTCCATCATCTGGGTTCGAACACGGGTCTGTATTTCAACAGTTCAATGCTGTACCCACTGAGCTACGCTCTTGGGTGCGTTTCCGCCTTTCTCTTTTCTGCCTTTCTGTCCTTGTGCTTGGCCTGACAAATGGCTGGTCTGATTGCGCGTAAATGGAAGCAGTTTTCTTCTCTATACAAGCCGATTGCATCTGGATGACCCTTATACATAGTGTCGCTGTCGTCTACAGAGACGTATACTTGCCTGCCTGCAGGTTCTTCACCTCTTGATCCTATGTGGCAGTTTTCTGAGCTTTGTGATTTCTTAGAACTTGCCAGACTGTATCGAGTTCACCGTTGACAGTCCAAGTGTCTGGAGGCATCCGGTAGCGTATTGGGAAGTTGCGAAATTGCTCGTCATGGCTTTGACCCCTGTGGGTGAGTATGTTCGACGGCACTGTTGTTGTTTGTCTGCATTCTGTGGTGGGTTGGTTATGCAGCCACGCGATTTCTGTTATGTTGGCCAGTGGCATGAGCTTACACGGCTGTTTATGAAGACACTACTAGACAGCCAGAATTGGTGTTAACCTAGTTCTAATGCTGTCGTAACGGGTCAGTGTGCCCATATCCTGATGGATATAGTACTGTTGAAATCAGTCTTGCAAATTCACACTCAAACATGCATGCAACAGATGAGAATAACTTGGCGCTGTGCACCCAACTCAAACTCGGAGATATGGTAGCTTGCAACTCAACTCAAATCCAAGTTTACTTCAGTTGRCTATGGCGCTGGGCGCCCTCACTTACACGTTCGACTCAGAGTTCACACGCAACTCGACTCCGGRTCACCCTGGATACCATGCACGCCAACCACTGCACACACACATACACACTCACTAACTGTCTATGGCTATGGCGCATGGCCACTAACAGCTAACTAGCCTATCACTAACTTCTGCCCACTTCGTCTTCAGGCCATCTGCAGACCTCCCTTGCACAAGACGCCCGAGCYGCGCTTCCGCAGAGCTTCCGCAGGAATGAATGAATGGCTGGACGCAGCCTCTTGATTTATACTTCTGTGTTGCATTGGTCTGCCTTGTATCCCTGGCCCACGATGCACACAGTCCCCCCCCGTGGTACTTGCTGGACCGGACTGGTACTTTCTAGACTTTCCCATGACTGCATAGTGACAACCCTACGACGCAGTGCAGTTGCACTGGGGTCCTACTATTTGCCCTTGCCACTTGTCCTCGTCTCCAACATGGGCTTGCTTTAGTCACACCACTTGACCACTTGCCAACCTTCTAGAAGGACTGCAGCTGGACTTCTACTCTACAGGTCTATGGATCAAATCCTGGCTACCTAAAGACCTACGACAGACCTACTTACCACTGGCAGTCCTACAGGTCGCAGGTTCAACTCTTCGAGTTGACGCAGGTAGTGTACACAGGTAAGTTGGGGAACTAGGGATCGAACCCTGGGTCCTGCATCAGCTACTTCGAACTGGTGAATACCGTTTCACTCCCGCCGGCCTAAATTCGAGGTCCTCCGAGAACATTTCAGTTCAAGACAGGATCTTTACCCTTCTGCTGTCTTTCGTACGCCCGGACTATGTGGGGAGCTGTCTCTAGAAGTTCAGATCTAGTAAACCAGCGGTCGTCTTCTGGTTCCTGATAACTAAAGTGAACCTTATATTGTCTCTGTGGACGACCCCTACCTCCAGTCCTGAATACATCTTCAGCCACTATTCCATCAATGTCGTATCTTCCATCCATATCCGGTGGGATCATGGACCTACGGGATGGAAACTGATCACTTGTTTGACACGGTAACAACTTTGATGCGTGGAAAACTGGGTA